TGTACAAACAAAATAAATATATTGAAAAATATAAAAACAAAAAAAAATTATACTTTAGAAGTTAATCTAGTATCAAAAACGTTCGATTCAGCATGACACACAGTCCTCAGAAAAACACCACACAAAAATGCCAGTGCTGCCAGCTAAAACACACACATCAACAAAAAAAAATATTGGAATAGCCCAAGATATAGCCAAAGATTGCAGCACCACAGCACTAGCGAAAATTTAAAATTGCCGACTGGAATTCTTTCGGATAACTGACTTTTGGATAAACGACGCTCTATTGTACTTCTAATAAAGCAATTAAATAACAAAAAGCAACAGCAGCTGTTCTAAAATAATCTTTAAATATAACTTGATTAATCTGGCCATCCTGTATTTAAGCAGAATACTTACTTTAAAATTATGAGTTCATAATGGCAATAAAACTTTCATAGAATAAATATAAAGATGCTAAGTAGTTTTCTAAATACAATTAATTTTATCTCTCTACTATTCCTGTATAATTGACATTTTCTGTAATATTATTTCATCATATGGCAAACTAAACACATTGAAATCTATTAAATATAATGTTTCAAACAAGTTTTTTAAATACTAATTTCTTAACCTGTGTGTTGAGTTTAATATATTATAAGGTATAGCTAAGATTCTAAAAATCCAACCCTATTAATTCTCAGAAAATATAAATTTATAAAAGTTTCATTAAATAGATGATTATATTTATAAAATTGAGTTTAATACAAATTTTTCTTCTTCATCTCAAAATACAAATATTTTATAATCATTTTAAGTAGATAAATATATACATACCGTTATTTTAGCTTGAGGAGATGCTAACATTTGCTGTTGTTGATGAGTAGGAAGATTGTTAGCAAATGTTAATATTCTTGATCCAAACCATTCCTAATGAAATTAAATAAGAATTATTGATTTAACATAAAATTTAATTTAAATTCTTAAATTAATTTCCTAAAAAATTTTTAAAATTTTAAATAGGATTGAAAATAACTTACTAAACTTTCTTGTAATAGGGCTAATATCCGGAGTTGATTGAGGTCAGATAAAATTTCATGATGTGGAATTAATGTTTCTCCAGTCAAATTTCCAGTCAAGATTTCAGACTCTTGTTTATTTCTCAGTCTTATTTCTTCGGGTGATTCTTCAACATCAGGCAGTTCACAATTCTCTTTTAAATGTTGTAGATTTATCCAATTAGGCAAATGTCTGTAAAGTATTTGTTTATTTATTTTTAAGTTAAAAAATTAACTAAAGAATTATCAAAATGTACCTAAGAAAACGACTAATATCATCATCTTTTGCCCATGTAGCACTTATAATTCTCTTATCTTCTGATTCTGGTTGGACAACACCTTTAAAAATATTTTATACATAAATTTCATAAAATAATCTCAGTAAATTTAATGTAAATAAAGATCTAAAACATTAAAAATAACTGGAAAAATTTTAATAATACTTAAAAGAATTATTTAAATTACTTATAACTTTCCACAATTAGTAATAGACTTATTGGACTAATTTTATGTATGTTATTAAATAATTTAATAAATTCAACAAAGTTCATCTAATGTTAAATTCAATATATTTGAAGGCTTATTTTTTATTATAATTAAACAAACAAGTCTATTTATTTCACAGAAACAAATTTTCATATTAAAATTTTTATTTATATATAATAATAAAGAAATTTTTATTATTATTTTGCAAAATTAATGCAAAATTTAGTTAAAACAGGGTATTTTTAATTTCACGATAAAATAATGTCAATGCCACATTGTATCTACAATACTTATATGCTAAAAACCATTATATTTTGTTTAATGTTTCTTAGTATACAAGTATTGTAATTTTAATTACAGTTTTTGATCTTTGTGGAAAGTAAACTTTTCTTTTATTGAAATGATGATAAAGAATATTACCATATCATGTTGAAAAATTGTATTTATTAACATCCTAAATTTATAGAGGCTAACTGATTGATTATTCTTCTATGAAGAAATTTCATTGATTCTCCCAACCCAAAATAAAAAACAAATTAGATCTAATATTTATATTTAACTCTGTTAGATTAAAGCAATCATATCACTACATACTTTAAATATTAGTGATATTTTACAATACATTATTTCCTGTATTTTTGATATTATACAATGATATTATAAACATAAAATTCTCTCAATAGTAGCAAAATAATTTAATGACATCTTCATAATCATACAACTGAAATACTTGGAAATATATGTAGCATTACATACTATTAAAGATATTTTCAAACAAGAAAAAGTATTTCAAATGAAAAAAATTAATATTTTTAATTGCTATTTATATAGATATAAATTGAAAGTACAATTTATTATTTTGTTTTGCTTTTTTAATTTTATATAACTTTATAGTGATTTCATCTTCAAGCATTAACAGTAATAAAATCTTTTATTGTAGGGCGACCAATGCTCTGGAATGCATTGGTCAAACTCTATAAAACATGTTAATAACTTCTATGAATTTAAAAGAAGACAATAAAATATATGATGGATCAAATGTATTAACTCAGTTACCTATCAGTTCTAATCTTTTTTGAGTGTCTGTAATTCCGCAAGCATTTATTTTCTTTATTGATTTTAATGTAACAGTTTTGCTCACTTGTTTTTAGCTGTTTATTTTTATTTATTTTTTGGGGGTAATCATAAAAAAAGACATTACGTACTATAACCAATAAGTAAATAAATAGGATATTTTATATTCATAAATATTTGTATTTGTAATATTTCTAACTGTAGAATTCCATATATATAAAAAAAAATATAGAAAATGCAAAAATTTTAAGTAAATCTGTTAAAAATCTTCTGCATTTTGGATAAAACGATAAAAGGAAATCAAGATTTACATATTTTACAATTAACATATTACATCAAAGTTGTTTAAACAATAATTATTAAATTATTTAAATTGCCAACACATTAAATATATTTAAATATTTATTATTTCAAAATTCAAACCTCTATATGCAGCTTGACAAGTTTCTTTGTAATTTTTCAAAATATTGCATATTAAATTAAGAAAATCTTCTGCATATTGGGGAATAGCATACATTAATTCTTGTAATTCTTGTAAACTTTTATCTAAATTCACTGTACTCTGGAATAAGTAATTTCATTAATATTTATGAATAATACATTTCATGTAATTAAAATAAAATTTTATAAAATAATAATAAAAATATGTAGTTACTTAATATAAAAATCTTTAAGAAATATAATAAATAAAATTTGCTTCTGTTTACATCGTTTACATTTAATTTATGTGTACATAAAAGAATATCTTAAAAAGGGGATATATATACATTTCAGTAACTCCAAATTCAAATGTATATTTTTAATATTTGAATTCTGCAATATTTTAGAATTGAGGTAAACAATTGAAGTGTGTTCTTAACAGACTTCTCAATGAACATTTCTATATCAGTTTTCAAGAATGTTAAATGGTACTTTGATATCATTGATAAGCAATTCTTCGATTAACTCCAAAAATGTATTCGCCTGTCTAAATAATGATATACCATAGTAAAACATAACAGACAAACTTTCTTCTTCTACTTCATGCTTGATTTGAAGTCACTTTGTCTGCTGCTCTTAGTATATGAAGTTATATAAAACAATCAGATTAGATAATGTTTTGTGAAAATATGGCCTTCCTTTATCAATCTCTACACTTATCTGGATTTGGATCTGACAAGAGCTATTATAATATTATAATATATATGAATATAATAACTGAATGTGAATATGGCAACTATATAAGCAATATTTTTCCAAGAAAAGCAAAATTTTATATGATATGTCTGTGATCATGCTGTATACACTCTTCAAGATATTCTTTACATCAATGAGTTTATCAGTACATTTATACTAAAATTAACTTAATTAAAGCCAAATGATCTGTCATATTACTAGGCTATAGTACAAATAATTTTAAAACTAGAGATACAGTAAGTTGAATAGAGGTAGATGATTAAGCCACTCTCTAATGATGATATAATTAGTTTTTTTATAATTTGATAATGCAGCAGATTGTTTGGCTTTAATTAAAAATTGGGTTTGTGGATTTATTGTTTATATAAAATTAAACATCATAATATCTAATTTATAAATATTCCTTTAATTAAGTTAACATTAATAAAAAATACCATCCTTTGTATGAAGTTTCATCTAAACTTACTTTAAAAATAATAAAATGAAATTTCAGTTAAAGCAATCACAGATTTTGGATAAAATCTATTCAGAGTTGGGTTTTCAAGGTTAATTTAGATAAAAATGATAAGCTAAGTTAAGCCTGATGATGGCTGCCCTTGTTAAACTATACGACAAGAACAGAGTGCAATGATTATTGCATCTGATAATATGAACAAAGTAACAGTTGCATTTCTACACCATCTACACAGATTGCTATTCCTGCATGGCTGGCCAAACTTTGTCATGACAGGAGCAATGTGTGAAATTCAAAGTTCATATAATTTCATAAAAGAAAGTAATCCTTTAAATTTTTAATAAATTTAAGGGTCAAATTCCTTTGGTTAAAGGAATTTGACCCTACAGAACTGTAATATAAAGCATATGAGAAATTTATAACTCTTTCTATTTAACTATAAACATTCTCACGATCAAACTGTGTATAGTTTACAATTATCGGCGAAATTCGTCATATTGTTGTCATTCTAACACCAACTTTAACCCCACACCTGCTAAAACAATTGGTCACCTGACAAATTTTCCCACCACAAAATGTATAAAAGCAATCCTCCTTCCCCTCTCGGGGGAGTCGCCAATCAAACGGATAATGATGAAGATGGGCCATATCTTCCCCTCATACCTACTGTACGCCTTTAATTGGAAGACCTTGTGCCACACCGAGCACTGCTCTTCAAACCGTTTAAGTCAGAAGTATCCATCCAATATTATGTCAGAGGTATGATATATTATTGTGAATTCTCTCTCTCATCCGCGAAGTCTAAGGAGTTTTGTAAATTTTTATTTAGTTAGCGTGTTAAATAAACTGTTGTTTTATTTTAAATGGTGTCGTTACTCGACTTTGCCAATATCTTATCGTCGACCCCTCCGACTCTCCTCCACTCGCATAATGCGTAACTGAATGAAACGCCATCCTTGACAAGAAAGTAGGTCACCGACCTGTGGCCAGAAGGAGAAGACTTCCCAACCTCCCCAGCGGCTCACAAATTGGTGTCATGGGAGTGGGGTTTGAATCTAAAAATCCCTAGAACCATCACAAATGTATTGCCTATCAGAAATATAAGAGCTGCACTTTAGGGTATAGAAGAACTGTAGTTTGGCCAACATGGCCCTATAGTCCTGTGTTTAGCCAAATAAAAAACTGATTAGTATATTTATGTTTTATAAAGTCTGTTCTTATTTCCTGAAATTGTTTAATAGAGAGAAGAAGAAACAATGACTTCTCTGTTCATGGAAAGTAGTATGTTCTAATGCTCATTTTTACATGAATAAGATGAAATAACAATTTAAAATTATTAACTGAACTTTTTTTTATCTCAGATTATTCCAACAAATTGCAAAATTATTTAAGACAAAAACTGGGACTGTCACAGCAAAATAAGATTATGTAATAAGTTTATTTGTACACAATTATTTATTTTTAAAATTTTTGCATTAATTTTCATTATAAATTATACTAAATTTTGTAATTAAAGTTAATAAAAAACATTAACATTACCTGTAATAATGGTCTTGTTGTTCCTAGTGGCTTTAATAATTCAGGATCATTTACTGGTTTCCATGTGTCCAAACCTTATTAGGAAAATATATTATATGAATGAACGTAATATTTATATTGTATTCTCAATCAATTATTTAATTAATTTTGATTAAAATTATATAAAATCATTCTTAATTAATTATTAGTAAATATTACAAGTTACATTTATGAATGGAAATAACAGAACCGAATTTGAATAAAGCAAAATTAATAATACCTCAATTAAGTTAAACAAAATTTTTAAAAGTGCTCATTTGCTTTACCTTTTATTTTTTTTAATTGTAATTTTAAAAAAATAAAAGATAAAGCAGATGTATACTTTTTACTCTGTTTTGATAAACGCTGTAACTTTATTCTATTGGAAACTTTTATATAATATAATATAATAAAAATACAAATAGTAAGAACTAATAATAGAATTTAAGATAGTTTTTAACAAATTCATAAAATATAACTGTAAAAAAAATAAATCAAAAACACAATCAAGAATATTAATTTATATAACATGGTCAAACCTCATTAATATTTTGTTGGTATGTATGAAATCTGCATCAACATTGGTTAATATTAATGCAGATATCATACATAACATAACATTCTGACAAAAATATTGATTAATATATGATATGAAGCTTGAAGTGGCCTTGTGAATTCAACGACAATTATATTATGTTGTTTAATACAAATCAGACTTCTTACAGTTTCTTCAAAGCCATAAAAACCAAATTAGAAAAACACAAGTCATATCATGACCAGGGGCATGTTTTTGACTAATGTGAGATTCGTAAAAGTGCATCAAAATTGAGACTAATTACGAAACTTTTAAGTTGGAGAGTTTCAAGGATAGAATTGAGTCAAGAGGGTGTGTTAATGACAGAACCCAGATGGGACAAAAACTTTTTTCGTATTGTAAAACAAACATGACGCAATGGTAAACAGCAGGGGGAAATGTTGACAGAGAGAGAGAGAGAGAGAGAGAGAGAGAGAGAGAGAGCTTTGTCGAGATGCTCGTGAACAAGTGTCGGGTCGAAACAATCAAGAAAAGGTGGGATTTAATGACAAAAGGGACATCTGTTAAGCCTGAACGCATTAGGGGGTAAATGGCCACAAGAACATCTGGTGGACTGTTTAAGTTCAAAGATGTCAGAGAGAAGGGCCTTAACAGAGTAAAATATGAGTGCAAACTTTAAAAGCCCTGTCATCACCCCTCTGATTTTTTCCCGACCCAGATCAGTCTCGGGTTTCGCCTAGAAACAAAAGAATGACCAATAGGGGTAAGGAAGAGGGTGAACGGGACCAATCAAAAAGGTGATATTCGGGAAAAATCTTATAAAATCCATGAATCTCAAGGACCAGGAGGCTGATTCTCCCCAAGACGCGTGCCTAGAAGACTTCAGGTCATCCGTGCACCTACCAGCCACAACCATCCAAGCTTCTCTGCCTACTCAGAGGAAGGGAGTGTGAATCCGAACACAGGACATCACCCATTCTCCGTCAAACTCTTCTTCAAGGAAGCCCAGGGGCACCCACCAGCAACTGACGTCAACCCTTCCTAATCATTGTTGTTGTTGTTGTTATGTAAGTTAACCTTATGTCAAAATAAACGGTTTTTGTGTACTTGTCATCTTTGTCTCCTACTGCCACCACCCACATACAATTATCCCCTAGGTTTTCCTGACGCGCAATTAACGTATTGACCCTAAAAGTTGGCAACCTTACACTAATGTTATGGCATCAATATTGTTGTTGACAATGCAGACATTAGGCATGCGCCACAGCAATAATGTTTATGCCAAATCAAAAATCTCTCTCTTACAATTGATGCTTTGCTTGCTGTGACAAAGATGAATGATTAGTTAAGACAGATGACATGCACATTGGAAACAGGAAGTTTTTTTGTTTACTCCTTCTACACCAATTTTTTTCAACCTTTTTTATCTCATGGCACACTTAAATCTATAATTAAATTTCTGTGGGAAAAATCATGTGATTTAAAGTTGTGTTTGTAAACAGTGTGTTACTTGCCACTTAACCTTATTCTTTCGTCTATATGTTTTGTGAATGAAATAAAACTGTATTATCATTCTGTAAAATAGCAACAGGTTACAGCAATAGTTATTTAGATTAATAATTTTCATTTATATAAGATAAACAAATAACATTAAGTCTTAATTTGCATTTAAAAGTAGCATGATAATTGCCTTTAGAAATCTACCCAATATCCTGCTATTTCTAGGTTAAAGTAATTTGAACTAAATATATTAAATTAAATTATAGATACATTTTTCATTTAAAGAAAATTTCATATTAAATGAAATAACCTGGTGTTATGCACATATAATTTTGCTTATGAATATATATTTTTTTACTACATTATGTATATGTTTATTTATTATAACAATGAAAAACTCGTATAATCAATTTAAAGAGGTTTTATTTTTGACAAGTGCATTTACTGTTATTTGGGCTTCTTTCAAAAATAATTTATTTAATAACCTTCAAAAATTTTCGTGGCGCACCTATAATCCTCTCATGACACACCAGTTGAAAATCACTGTTTTACCCTGTGGGCAATAAAGGAACCTTCTTCCAAATGCATTATGGCTGATGCAGAATGGAGCTAGACATATCCAGGGCAGATCACATTGAAACTCTGCTGGGTGTTTTTTTACCTGTCCAGATTCAATTCTGGGTCCTCCAGAGCAGTAGTGCGATGTCCTATTAACTTTCAATCCTATTTTGATTAAAAAAATAGGATTGAAAGATAATGTTACAATATTAAGTATTGTAATTAGTTTGTAATTTTGAAATAACAAACCATTTTCATTGAAATTCAAGTAAATAAGTTATTTTTAAATTTGTAAAGTTTTATATGTATCCAGCTCCTGGATTCAATTTGGGGGTTAGGTCAGTCTGTTATATCTAGTAGCTTTAATCATCCCTCTACAAACTCTAACTAATTTCAACAAAAAATGAGCATTGAGTCTAAGTCATCATATCTCAATAAAGTAAATATTTAGAGTAATACATAGATCTATTTGTTTATTTTTGAAAATAAATCCAAAAAAGATAAAACAGCGAAATAACAGAAAAAATTTGGCCTTTGCCATTTGATAGTGTAACCATTGATTTTTGTATTGATGTTTGATTAATACAAAACTTATGTGATGCCTTATCAATATCAAATCAATATAAAATTAAAATATTTAATAAAAATTTTAAAAAAAATTTCAAACTATAAAAGTAGAAAAGTTTTACTTACTTTTTGTAGCATTATCAACCATCACATCTACAACTCCACTTACTTGTCCAAGAAATACATTCACACACTGTGTCAAAAATGCATGTAAAGGACAATGGTTTCTGCAATTATTTACATTATTATTAAATATACAAAACAAACTTCTTTATAGTGAACTGTATTGGGTGTAAAAGATCTACATTTATTTTAACAGAAATATCTTAGAAATTGAAATCTTAAATAAAAAGTAGAAGCATATCTTTGAATTTATGAATAAATTAATCAATATAATTAATAAATTGTATGTAATTTCCACAGATAGATAAAATACTTTCAGATTACATTGAAGTTTTTATAATTTAATTAACTTGATTAATTTTATCATCAGAATATTCAAGGAGTAATTGTTCAATAACTAAATAATACATAGTTTCACAGGTTAGTATTATATCATAATTTTAATTTTAGATCCTGAGTTTATGCAAACAAACATTTATTAAATATCACATTCATCATTCTAATACAGTGATACCTCGACTTACGCTACCGCGAATTACGCGAACCCGGAGTTATGCGATTTTCAAATCTCGTCGATTTGTCTTTTGTTTGAGCACCAAGCAACTCTTGATTACTCATTCCCTCCACACTATTGTTCGGCTTACATGTTCGGATGTGTCGTGCAGAATTGACACATAGCTACAATTTATTTTGTGTTATTTATTTTTGTGTTTGTTATATCTACGGAGACTCGAGTGACTCTATGTGGTGATTTCTTGTAACACTGAATGAATCAAAAGATGAGATAAGATTAACGAGAACATTTATTAGCTTACATACCTCCGACTTGGATTTTACACACATTGAGAAATTATACCACGACTTATTCAAATTCGATTTACGCGGTTATCGCTCGGTCCCACCTATTGCGTAAGTTTGGGGTATTACTGTATAGTCATAAAACTATTTTAATCTGGATACTGATAAAAAATAATATTAAAATGTTATGTATTAATATATCAAATAAATATATTTAAACAGAAAAGATTATAAAAACGTATCTATCAAGTACTTTATCAATTCAATAACTTCAACATGAACTTCTAACTGTATATATAACATAGACAAACAACTTAAATATAATTATATTTAATTAATTTTCTTTAAAATTATATCAATCTCTTTAGTTAACTGTAATGTAATATCTACAGCAGGAAAGATATCAAAAGAAAATTGTATATTCTGATTAAAATTTTAGTATAATTACTAGTGAAATTTTAACATATCAAATTATATCTGATTGAAAAATGAGCATGTCAGTATGTAAAAAGTTAAATGTTTTGAAAGAGGACATTATTAAGAAGAGAACAGACTTTTCAGGTTGAAAAGTACAAATCCAATCGACTTTTGTAATGAGTAGAATTCTAAATATGCTTCTATAACTTAAAGTACCGTTCATTTGACATATATGGAATTTTGAACAAAGTTTATGTCAGTGATGATGAATCTTTACAGATGAAGTGATTGCATTGAACATTTACTATGATTGCAAGCCATATAAAAACCAAAATCAACTTTTTTTAGTGAATAACCTTTCTTTTAGCTCCCTAAGAATCTAAAAGAATGTATAATAATTATTATTTACTTCATTCTTTTTTCTGTAATGTTTCTAAATAAGAAAAAATAAAATAGAAATGGAAATTATGAATCTTCTATTCCTACTTCATTTCTAGAACAACCTGAAAGAATTCTAGATGAAACTCATCAGGTTTTTTTCTAGAATANTTAAATGAAATAACCTGGTGTTATGCACATATAATTTTGCTTATGAATATATATTTTTTTACTACATTATGTATATGTTTATTTATTATAACAATGAAAAACTCGTATAATCAATTTAAAGAGGTTTTATTTTTGACAAGTGCATTTACTGTTATTTGGGCTTCTTTCAAAAATAATTTATTTAATAACCTTCAAAAATTTTCGTGGCGCACCTATAATCCTCTCATGACACACCAGTTGAAAATCACTGTTTTACCCTGTGGGCAATAAAGGAACCTTCTTCCAAATGCATTATGGCTGATGCAGAATGGAGCTAGACATATCCAGGGCAGATCACATTGAAACTCTGCTGGGTGTTTTTTTACCTGTCCAGATTCAATTCTGGGTCCTCCAGAGCAGTAGTGCGATGTCCTATTAACTTTCAATCCTATTTTGATTAAAAAAATAGGATTGAAAGATAATGTTACAATATTAAGTATTGTAATTAGTTTGTAATTTTGAAATAACAAACCATTTTCATTGAAATTCAAGTAAATAAGTTATTTTTAAATTTGTAAAGTTTTATATGTATCCAGCTCCTGGATTCAATTTGGGGGTTAGGTCAGTCTGTTATATCTAGTAGCTTTAATCATCCCTCTACAAACTCTAACTAATTTCAACAAAAAATGAGCATTGAGTCTAAGTCATCATATCTCAATAAAGTAAATATTTAGAGTAATACATAGATCTATTTGTTTATTTTTGAAAATAAATCCAAAAAAGATAAAACAGCGAAATAACAGAAAAAATTTGGCCTTTGCCATTTGATAGTGTAACCATTGATTTTTGTATTGATGTTTGATTAATACAAAACTTATGTGATGCCTTATCAATATCAAATCAATATAAAATTAAAATATTTAATAAAAATTTTAAAAAAAATTTCAAACTATAAAAGTAGAAAAGTTTTACTTACTTTTTGTAGCATTATCAACCATCACATCTACAACTCCACTTACTTGTCCAAGAAATACATTCACACACTGTGTCAAAAATGCATGTAAAGGACAATGGTTTCTGCAATTATTTACATTATTATTAAATATACAAAACAAACTTCTTTATAGTGAACTGTATTGGGTGTAAAAGATCTACATTTATTTTAACAGAAATATCTTAGAAATTGAAATCTTAAATAAAAAGTAGAAGCATATCTTTGAATTTATGAATAAATTAATCAATATAATTAATAAATTGTATGTAATTTCCACAGATAGATAAAATACTTTCAGATTACATTGAAGTTTTTATAATTTAATTAACTTGATTAATTTTATCATCAGAATATTCAAGGAGTAATTGTTCAATAACTAAATAATACATAGTTTCACAGGTTAGTATTATATCATAATTTTAATTTTAGATCCTGAGTTTATGCAAACAAACATTTATTAAATATCACATTCATCATTCTAATACAGTGATACCTCGACTTACGCTACCGCGAATTACGCGAACCCGGAGTTATGCGATTTTCAAATCTCGTCGATTTGTCTTTTGTTTGAGCACCAAGCAACTCTTGATTACTCATTCCCTCCACACTATTGTTCGGCTTACATGTTCGGATGTGTCGTGCAGAATTGACACATAGCTACAATTTATTTTGTGTTATTTATTTTTGTGTTTGTTATATCTACGGAGACTCGAGTGACTCTATGTGGTGATTTCTTGTAACACTGAATGAATCAAAAGATGAGATAAGATTAACGAGAACATTTATTAGCTTACATACCTCCGACTTGGATTTTACACACATTGAGAAATTATACCACGACTTATTCAAATTCGATTTACGCGGTTATCGCTCGGTCCCACCTATTGCGTAAGTTTGGGGTATTACTGTATAGTCATAAAACTATTTTAATCTGGATACTGATAAAAAATAATATTAAAATGTTATGTATTAATATATCAAATAAATATATTTAAACAGAAAAGATTATAAAAACGTATCTATCAAGTACTTTATCAATTCAATAACTTCAACATGAACTTCTAACTGTATATATAACATAGACAAACAACTTAAATATAATTATATTTAATTAATTTTCTTTAAAATTATATCAATCTCTTTAGTTAACTGTAATGTAATATCTACAGCAGGAAAGATATCAAAAGAAAATTGTATATTCTGATTAAAATTTTAGTATAATTACTAGTGAAATTTTAACATATCAAATTATATCTGATTGAAAAATGAGCATGTCAGTATGTAAAAAGTTAAATGTTTTGAAAGAGGACATTATTAAGAAGAGAACAGACTTTTCAGGTTGAAAAGTACAAATCCAATCGACTTTTGTAATGAGTAGAATTCTAAATATGCTTCTATAACTTAAAGTACCGTTCATTTGACATATATGGAATTTTGAACAAAGTTTATGTCAGTGATGATGAATCTTTACAGATGAAGTGATTGCATTGAACATTTACTATGATTGCAAGCCATATAAAAACCAAAATCAACTTTTTTTAGTGAATAACCTTTCTTTTAGCTCCCTAAGAATCTAAAAGAATGTATAATAATTATTATTTACTTCATTCTTTTTTCTGTAATGTTTCTAAATAAGAAAAAATAAAATAGAAATGGAAATTATGAATCTTCTATTCCTACTTCATTTCTAGAACAACCTGAAAGAATTCTAGATGAAACTCATCAGGTTTTTTTCTAGAATATAGACTTAGAATGCATGTGAAAAATATAATTTCAACCTGTTTTTTTTTTAAATATAAAATTAAGTTTTCAATACAGTAACTGTAGATCAAAAGAAATATCTTTAGGTGATAAGAATATCTGATTACTGACAGAAACACTAAACAACCATTAATCCCATTATTTTTATATTAATGTAATACAAAACTTAGATCTATTTAAAAATCTACATACCCAGGTTCAAGAGCTAAAGCTTGTTCAATTTCACCAATGAATTTCATAAGGGGCCTGAATATTGCTTTAAAAAATTAAACAGATACTTTAATTCATTTTTTAAAATGAAAAACACAAAAAGTAAATTAAATCATTTCAAAATAAATTAAAATAATCTAAAAATATCATAAAAAGAAAGAAATATTCTTATATTATTCTTCTAAGAAAATAAAGTTTATTTCCGTGGAGGAATAATCTGAAGAGGAAAAATTTCTTTAAAAAATTTATTAATACGTTACACAAACAGCACTTTTGTGGAAGCTGTTACTTTAAAAACAGCTTCCATAAATATTTTATTGCAGATTAATATAAAAAAGAAATCATAATTTCTTAACGTGTGAAATGTTACAAATCTTAATAAAACTCATTAAAAAAACTCTTCAAATTATTATTATTAATTTTTGTTTTTGAAGGATAATTATTTAATAATTATAATTCTCCTTCAAAAACAAATCATTCTGTTGAGAATACAATTCATTGTAGCATCACTCATTCTAATATACACACAGTGATTTATACTATGCTATAATGAATAGTTTTTATTACAAAATCAAAATGCTATAATGAATGTGGCCAACATAGCATGCACACACGCATGACATGTTGAGGTTTTCTCCACTTTGTTCAGAGCATTAGTTATTGTCTTTATTACAGTTTGTAAAGTTCAAATATCTGTTTGTGTCTTTATCAATAAAAAAATATTTTTAAAATTATTCTCCAACGTAATTTTAGCCACAAACCAGAAAAATAAAGTAAGAAATTTAATTAACTTAGATATTAAAAAAGAAATAATTTCCAACTGAGAAAGTGAAAAAAGTGTAGGAAATGTGAGTGCTGAATACAGTATGTCTAAATCAATTATCAGTAAACTTTTAAAAAACAAGGAAAAAATAAAAATTGCATAGGTTGTAAAGGTAATCTCTAAATTAAACAGTTCATGTAATATCACAGAACAGATGGAAACTTACANGTATTTAAATATAAACACAAATTTATTATACAACATTAATGTACTGAATATATACATGAAGCAATAATTTTTAATCGCATTGAAGAGTTGTCTTTGAATTACTGAATATCACTTAAAGTTGGCAATAGTGATAGCAACTTTGTACATTCTTAATTTATTTGTTGTAAGATTTTCATTTCAAAAAATCACTCTTAATTTAAAAATCTTCTAAAGTTTTAAAAATCCAATTTATAACTTCAAAACATTTCATTGTTCAATACGAAGGCAAAAGTTAATTTGCAAAAAATAAAATGACGCGTAATATAACTCGCATTGGTGTTGGAATGCTAACATAATTTTTTATTTAAAAAGAAACTAAGATATTATTTATTTTTATCATTTTTTCAGTCAAAAAAAAATATAAAAAGTTGTTCCTAGAATTAATATATTAATGCTAGGAACAACACTTTAATTAAACAGTCTTATTTGTAAATTTTATGAAGTATTTTCAACCTAACATTCCTTTATAATTTATCAATATTTTCAACCATAAAAAACTGTTAGGGCAAATAAAATTCAATTAATTTTCAACAAAGTTCTGACCAGGGAACATTATAAATTACATATATACACTTTTTTTCTAACCAAATTTTTCCTACATTATGTCACATTTCTGATATAAATATTTTTACAATTTATACTTTATTTCATAAAAAATAAAATAACAAAGCATTGTTCAATATTCCAATCAATTGTTATTTTCTTCAAAACTTCTAAATGTGATGATAATCAAAATCAAAATATCGTATTATTATTATTATTAGATGGCAAAAACAAACAGAAATAGTTAATTTAATTTAACACTAAGTTACATTATCATACATATTATCAATTAGAAATATAATGTAGACTAAAAATCTAGCAATTCAGAAGTTAATTAAATAATGTAATCATCTAATTGATATACAGATAAGCAGTTCAGCCACCATTTTGCAATAAAATTACTAATTATAATTAATTCTAAAATTTAATTTGATAATTTAAAAAATTTTGAAAGAAGAGATTGGCTCAGGACAGAAGTAAAGCCTGCAACATGTATTCATTAATACTTATTCAAAAATAATAAATTTTAACTAAGAAAATGAATATTTTTTATCTTACTCAAGCCATATTTTAAACCCATTATGACTGGAATGGGCTCAGTTCGCGAAATCTTCTTTGGTGTACCAGGACTACTTTCAGCTCTTATTCTTTCCGATCCTTGTCTTTTGAAGCGTTTCAATGCATCATTTGTCGATCTTACATATAAATGTTTATGGAGTTCTTCTACTAAAACTTCGTGCATATGCTATTAAGAAAATTTAAGCTTTAATAAACTATAATAAATAAAATACACTACAAAATAACATGTTAAAAATATGTAAAGTGGCATGATAATTTTGTTTATAGTTATGTTCAGTTTATTTTGTCTTTTATTTATATTATTTGTCTTTTTATTTCCATACTCTAAGTTCTAAGAATTGTTTTGTTAAATCTCAACACCTATCTCAATTTAATCCAGCTTAATTTGCATCAATCTTATAGGTATTGGAATTATATTCTACAAAAAATATTGAAATTTTAAATAATGGTTTTAAAATAGATGAATATTCATAATTAAAAGCTATTTCTGAATTCAAAATAATATTGCAAAATTTTATACTTAATGTAAATTAGTATGATGTCATCAATGAATATATAAAAGATAATTGTAATTTAAGCTGAGCATCATAGCTATAAATAAAATCTTGGAACTATTGTATTGTAAGTCATTAGTGTGTTAATTTTTCTAAGTTCTTTTTTTCCTCTTAATCAGATTATCTCTTAATTTGATAAATTTTGTATCTTCATACATTTAACAATTGTAACTTTAGCCAATATTAAGTGTAGAAAATCCAGTACAGACAAGTAGCTTATTCTAATAAAGTTTTTAATCTGAGGTAATGTTCTTTTATTCTTTTTTATTCAAAAGATATTTTGATTAGATTTCACAAACAACTTAATCTACACATAAAATCAAATTCATGTCTGTCTGTCTGTCTAGTCAAGTATCATAAGAGAACAGGCTAAACCAGTGATTCTCAAACTTTTTCGATCCACCGCCCCCTTTGTTCCATAAAGTTATACCCAACGCCCCCTAACCCATTTTCTCTTGTGTGAGAAAAGGATTGGAAATAGTCTTAGGAAAACTTTTCTATGAATCTCACACTTTGTGCCCTTACTGTACATTGTTCTCATCATCTGGAAACCATTAAACGCAATATTTCCTCTTATCAGTCCCAATTTTGCCTTTGGTCACCGTTCAATACCCTGCCTCTATCATAGATCTATTCATCGCGCCAGAAAAGGGCGTTATTGCTTACTTTGAGAAACGCTGAGCTAAAATAAAAGTCAATGTGTTAGAAATATTCAAGTTGTGACCTTCAATAAAAAATATATAAAATGTCAACATTTTATATATATTCCGTCGAATTTTTATATATAGAATTTGTCTGCCGTCGCCCCTCTATATTTCCTTAACACCCCCCAATTCTCTTTGAGCCTTCTACTGCCCCCCTGAAAGCCTCCAGCGCCCACAAGGGGGCGTTATCGCCCACTTTGAGAAACGCTGGGCTAAACCATTTTTTGTACATATACATTCAGGATAGTCCTCGTAAAAATAATAAATAGGCATTTCCAAATTATTTAATTTTATATACTCTGATAAAATTTACATGAATAAATAGTTTACTTCAAGTCTTTTGCATGAATATGAAGGTTTGTTCCATAGGCCAATGGGTATAAAGTGAACCCTGAAATTTGAATACAGTACACTAATGTGGACAAACAAATGGCTGAGTGGTTAGGCGGCAGCCTACCACTGTGGGGACCTGAGATTGAATCTAGACAGGTCAAAACAACCTTAGGAATTTTTCTGGAGGTGTTTCGTCCAGATATGTCAAGCCCCATCCCTCAAAACTTCACAGCCCCATTGTGGGCCTGGCAAAACCCACAATTGACTTGCTAAAAAGGCCCTCTTAGTCTTAAAAAAAAATAAACAGATGTAATTATTAACATGCAAAAGTAAATATGAAAGCTGGTAAATAAAATTTAATTGGTCAGCCTGTAATTTGAACAAAACTTATACAGTGCTAAACATATGACCATTGCCACTTTTACCTGTGTCAGACTGTCAGCAAGTCCACAAAATTTGTTTCAAAGTAAAATTCTTTTTATATTGAAAACTTTACTTAATATATCACTTTTCCTCAGCTAGTATATGTAATACAATTTATATATAAAACAAGTCCCTATTTTTTTAATCTTAAAATGTCATCATCATCATCATCATCAATTCCTGCTGATACTCAGAGGCTGTACAGGTCAACATGGTGAAAAAAAATCAAACTTTTATACTACCATCCATTACTACTTTCCCAACTCTCCTATCAACAGACAAGTTTTTAGCCTAAATTAAAGTTAAATTCCTTTCCTCTAAAGCCTGCCTAACACTATCAAGCCACCTTCATCTAGGTCATCTCTTTGATTTTAGCTTTGAATATCTGTTTGGCCAGTCAGTCTTCTCCCATTCTTTCCAAATGGCCAAACCACCTCAGATTAGCCTCACTTACTCTACACTGAATATTTGTTATCATAAAGTTTTTTTCTTATGTCTTCATTTTTAATATGATTTTGCCACTGTATCCACCTATTAACACCATTAATTTTTCTAAAAACTCTCATTTCTTCTGCTTCTAATTTTTGGTCAATTTCCTTATTTCTCACCCAACTCTCAGAACCATATGTCAATATAGGTTTAAAAACTGTGTTGTACACAGCTAGTTTTGTCTTATGACTTATTTCTTTCTTGTTCCAGATATATTTGATCANCCTATGGTATTATAAAAACTTAGAAGTTATAAATTTCATAGTTTAAAGTATAATAAATCAAATATTTTCAGAACAATCTTTTCAGGAGGATATATCATTGAAAATTTAGTAAATTAAGAAAAGTTTTCCATATGGATTCATTCCTTTAAAGAATAAGTATATTATTTGTAGTGATATTTTGAATTTAGCAAACTTGACAAAAGGACAAAAGTAAAACTTGACCAGAACTTGAAGACGACATACCAGAAATAAACTACAAATATTTAAGAAAAATGAATTAAATTATTGTTTAGTAAAATTGTCTTGAATGTTTCTGAAAAACTTGATTCAACCAACCCCTTATTTAGCATTGCATGCAGCATTGAAATGGTTAACCATATATATCAATATATATATGGATGATAATACTAAAATTTTTGTAATGTATGCATACAAGCACATATAACTCTTATTTGATATTTGTCAAGGTATGTCATTAAATTTCTTTATTATCAAATATTAATTCACTTACTAGTAATATTTGTAGTTGAAGGTTGACAAACAAACTGTTGACCAACATCAATCATATCCTGCATTTCTCCCTAAATAAATATAAATTAAAAATAAAAATATCTGTCATATAAAACTTTAAATTTGAATTATTAACTTTATTAACTACACTTATGTCTTAATAAAGAATACAGTATGTTTATTCTGTATTTATTCTTTAAATAGTGTGTCTGTTCATATCATTTATATTGCAGCATATTTAAGGGAGTGATGTGGGTGTTGGATTCCTCCATAGAAGCTTTAGGAATAAAATTTAAACTAAAATAACCTGTCCTTAACAACAAATCTAAAATTACATTTTATTAACAGATAATTCAATATCAATTATTTGATTTCTTATTATAACAACAAAAATGAATGTTCAGTTATCAATCACTTTCTTAGACTATGTAATTGTATATTTTTCTAGAAGATCATAGTTTGTATATTGAGTTTGTTCTCAAAGTTTCCTTCTAGATGTATTAGAACATTTGTCTGGAAGATATAAAAGGAATGTACATTTGTCAACAGCAAATCAGTCTAATATTAGCCAGTGATCTAAGCAATAAACAAAAGTGACAAGTGAAATCAAAGTGTATGTAAATAGTGAATTACAGATGATTATTTATTTAGTATAATAAAGCCACTGACTGTATTTTTTATATTATCTTTAGATCACCCCAGAGCAAGATCTTAGTTACACCACTGCATTTATAAATCATTTTATTTTTCTTTATATGAAACGATGTCAATCTTCTTATTTGATTATTTCTCACAAGAATAATATAAATGACACAAAGCTTTCTTTACATCTGTTTAATTCTTTTTCCATTTGCCAAGGTGTGTTTTTGGTCTTTGCTCCTCTTCTGTCAGCTTTTTCCATTAAGGTGTTATACATTTAGTTTTCCAAAAACACACTATTATACATTTTCGGAAAATTGAATGTATAACACCTCAATGGAAAAAGTCAACAGAAGAGGAGCAAAGATCCAAAACACATCTTGGCAAATGGAAAAAGAGAATTAAACAGACATAGAGAAAGCCTTGTGTCATTTATATTACACCTCATTGTAAGAAATAATCAAATCATTTCATTTCTTAAATTGCAGATATATGAATTCGTTAAAACATGATTATAATGCTTTATATTGTAAACAGTTATTTAATTTTTTTTCCTTCTGTTGCTGTACAGATTATTCATAACATTTATTCCTATTATTTTTTAAGAGAAATGTGAGTGGTCAAACATTTAAAACAATTTCATTGAATTATTATATAACTATCATTCAATTAATAATTTCCATTTTGCTTTAAATCATCTTCATTTTACAAGAGTATTGTTTTATATTTATGTTACTGTACAGAATTAATAATTTTTTTATTAGTGAAAAATTTGAACAATGAAGTAATAAACAAAAAAGTTATGTATATTTATACTAGCAGATGAGCCCAGCATTGCTTGGACAAAAAGTAACGATAGAAAAGATTAAGATTATTAGATTATAGCCAATCTTACCCGTTTTCACCGAGTGCAAGAATTAGGTGCCTCCTCTTCAAAAACTAATTAGAAAATTTTTAGATATCTGCTTACCACACTGGAATAACAATAAATAAGACTCATTGCAACCACTAATTGGTGCATAGGTACACTAAGTGATAAATAATAAACGTTTTCATAAATCTTTCTGCGTTCTTCTTCAGGTTTAATAAATTCGAAAAATAAGCTGGATCTTCCAGAATCATTCATAAATATAAATACAAACATAAAATCGAACATTAAGACGAAGAGTTTGAATAAAGTGAATTTATGTGCATGCACTCCCCGTGTCAACTTTACATACAATGGAACACTAAGTATCGTTGAGAATTTTTAGAAAGGTCTAAAAATATGCTCAATTTCCAACATAAATGCAAGAAAGGCATCTAAAATAGTACAGTAGAAGCCGAGTTTTTTGGCATAATTCTTAACCCTCTCCCTCACAGTGGGAATTTCGAAAAATTCCTTCTTAATATGCATTCTCATGGCATACCCTATTAAAATGCAATCAAAAAATGCAAAAAACTGCATCTAAAATAGTATAATAGAAGCCAAGTTCTTCATGGTAAGCCTTAATCCTGTCCCTCTCGCCAGTGGGAGGTTTCGAAAAATCCCTTCTTAGTGTACATTCTCATGACTTACCCTAACTGTGTACCAAATTTCAACTTTCAACTCCTAATCGTTTGGGNATTTCTAGTGTTAAGTTGATTGTTACACACAAACAGGCTACAGTTGTTGTTATACATGTGAAATCTTTATGCAGAAAATATTCATTGCAGAAAAAGATCAGTCACCAATATGAAAACTTAATTTCATTTTTCTCTCTTCATATACATTTAGTTATACATCATAGAAGTGACATTACTATATTTATTAATTTTTATGGTCTACTTCTGAATAATTTGCTATTGAAATAAATTGCATGCTAATAGTAAACATTTTTGGCTCCCTTAACAAGAAATTTTTTTCATTCAAGTTTGAAACTGCTTTCATCTTTAACAATTGTTTCTAATTAAAAAATAAATGTAATTTCTACATTAGTCCTTTTTACTTTTTGTATCACTAAGTTTTATGAAATGTCAATGAGTAAAATTTATAAGTATAACAAACATCATAAAGCCTGATATGTATATAGAAACATCGCCAAACAATTGCCTAAATAATTGAGTTCCGCTAATTTTAATAATTAATAATTTGCTACTAGAAATAGACATTAGATGCCATCTCTTAATATACCTAATTATTAATTTTAATTTAGTTAATAGGTATGCTCAGGGTCTGAGTGGCACAACTGGCAAGCGCACCGCATGGCAAGTGGAGGTTGCGGGTTCAAGCCCCGAGTCAGTTCTTTTCTTTCAGATTGTTCTAAATTATTTAATAAATTATTAAGATTATAATTATTAATTTAGTTCAGAGATGGCACCTAACATCCACCTCTAATAACAAATTATTTAATATTAATTATTAAAATTAGTGGAGTTATAGCCCAATTATTTAGGCAATTGTTTGGTGATGTTTCTGAGTAAAATTTATTCTGTTAAAGATTAAAATAATCAAATTATTAACTTACCTGATGATACTAACAGTTGAGTAGCATGAAGATAATGTTTCTTACTCATATAGCCTTCAAGTTTTTCTGGTACTTCCATTAATGATTCACTAAATACAAATACAAAGAACATTTTTATCAAGATGGGATTAATGGTATGGAATTATGGGATTAAGGCTTGAGAAATATACATATAAAAGTAGTACAATATATATATATATATATATTATAAGAGTATTATATATATATATATATATATTATAAGATGTGTTACTTACTCTTCATTTCCATTATCGTAAGTTTATTTGCTATATCTTAATTGCTATATCAACCTTCTGTTATGTATAGTGAATAAATTTCAAAATAATAATTTACATTTAAATAGTACCTTCTCTTTCATTGCTTCCTTTTGTTCTTGAAGATAAGTATTCATACTTATAGCATGTGAAGAACTATCAAATCTAAAAAGAGAAAACTATAGAAAGAAATTAATTTAATATGAAGTAATTAGCTAATAACAAAATAGAATTTGATAATCTTACTGTTTTTGGTTTAACACTTCTTTTCTTTGCATAAAATGAAGAAATATCGCTTGCAGCAGTAACTTCAGAAAATGCTGGAGGAGCCTGCTGTCTGTTTGTAGTAGTATTTTGAATGTCAAGATACTGTCCAGCAAGAATCTCTAACTGTAATATATCAATAAAAAAATGCAAATGTAAGTAATATTTTATAAGTCTGAAATAAAACTCTTCTAATATCAAAACAACAAAATTACATTACCACTGTCTGAACTTTGGACCATATGTCAGGCATTTCATATAACAGCAACTCTCCATGTTGTGAATTTGATGACTAAAATACATTTTAAAAATTCAGATAAATATAAAGATCTTTTTCTGTGCAATTAAATCATCATAATATATTTATTTAATAAATCAGGTATTAAATTAATAAGGAAGCATCTAATTTGCTTCATGTTTTATGTCTTGAAGCTATCATTATATAACAACAATATCTAAAAATAAATGTCATGATTTACAGTTAATATATTATTATATATGTATAATATATTGTAATAATGTATAATATATTGTAATAATGTATAATATATTGTNGTTCATAACCTTTGCCAAAACATTAAGTTTATATCTTTTATGTACAACCCTGTGCAAAAAGTAAGTATTAGATCACCCTGTTGTGATCCTATATTTGATGAAAAAGCTTTTCAAGTTATTTACTTTATCAATTATTATATAATTTACAAGAAAATGTAATTTATGCATATTTCTTATTTAAATTTAAAATATACACATCAATATAAGCCCTTTCATATTGTACCTATGATTTAAAAACAAAAATTTTAAAGAATGAATTACTGACAGTATCTAACATAAAATTATTGAAAATTGAACTCAGTAGGATTAGAGTTAGATGTAGGGATTAGATGTTAGTTTTATAAACATCAACAGTTTAGAATTGAGCTACAGTGGTACTTTATACTTTGAGTAACTCTCCTTCAAACAGTCCAGAGTTTGAATGCTAAATTTGATCAAGTTCAAGCAATGCTTCTAAGTTCAAACTGCACATGCAGTGAAAAAAATGCTCTTGCTGCATAAACACCATATATTGTGTGCCCATGTCATCACTTGCTGTCATTGTGAAAACAACTCTCGTGTTACACTTGTTTTTTTTTTTCAGTGCTTCTTTGCTTTATTTTTGTGTGTTTAGTTACATATATAATCCCCATTACAGCATCCAAGAAAACTGTGGAAGTAACAAAGCTTAAGAGAAAGGTTCTTTTGACTTATTTATTTATTGTGCTTAACATTATCAATCAGTTACTGTTATCAATATAGAGTTCCAAAATGATTATATTAATTAGATTTTACTTTATATAATTTACATTAAAGAATAATTAAAATAAATTCCTTTTAGAACTTTTGTATTAATATATAATTAATTAATTTTAAATTCATTAATACATACATTTCATCTAACATTGATAGAATGTGCTTATGCTCTACAGATTCAAGCCATAATTTTCGTAATTCATCTCTCTTACAATGAAGCAGCATTTTGCAAGTAGTTAACTTCTCTTTTACTGCTGTAATCTTCTCTCTTGAAGCTAAAAAACATACATAAATTTATAAGCATATATAAATTTGATAAGACTTTTCACTTTGTAAATAATACAATTATCATAAAAACCTAATTATAAAAATAATCTATTTGAAGAATTAAACATTAATTATAGTTATGTTTATTCACTAATATACAAGTTATATAATATATGTAAATATATTAATTTATTCAACAAATTATATTAAACAACATAAAATAAAGTTTATATGCAGATTAAAATTATTTTTTGGAATTATAACGTAACTGATTAGTGTATTTACTGTCATTAAAAACAGGTAATTACTAATAAATTAAGCAAGACAAATGGTTCTGTCCTGTAAAGAAAACTCTATTTTTATTTTTATTCCAGTCAATAAAAGCACAGAACACATACAATAAACCTTATATACTAAAATACATTAATTCCAATCTTAGTTAATTCTTTAGATTTTTAATAAAATTACAAATCAATTTAACCAAACTTTAATTTAATAAGTTTAGTTTTTGTAATGTAACATTGTAAATTCTTATTTTATAACTGTGTTTTAATAGATTACTACTCTATCAACATTCATGTTGCTCAAGTAAATGCAAATGATATTGTAAAGGATAGAAAGATGTTTCATTTAATGTCTGCTTGTGACTCCTAAACATATATTATACTTCAGTCTAAAAAAATAAGATAATCTGGAATTTTATTACTGTATATAAATATAATTACATTTTGTATGTATATGTGTAGTATAATTATATGAAAGTGAGTTAATAAACTTTTATAAAAAAAAAATAAAACTGGTGGTAGATCATCAGTACTTTTGAATTTCTCTTACTCATGAAAGTAGATCACACTAAACTATAAGTTAGCCAGTATTAATATATTTGATTTTTTACTAATTTAAGAAATAATTATTGTTATAACAAAAACAGAACATATATAAATAACCTACTTGTAACTCTTTTAGAAATATTGGTAAATGCCTGCATTGCTGTTGAAAGATCTTCATGATGAGCTAAAAATATTAAAATGAAATCATTAAACAAAACTGTTTATAGTAATAACAATTATTTGACAAAAATATCTTGAAGATCTGAATTAATTATTATACATCATTTAATTATGCATTTAATCATTAATTTTTAAATGTAGCCTATAATTTATATTAATTACATATTTGTTAATTGTAACCAGAACTGCAGAATATGTTTGATCATGCAAACAAAGTTTGGGGAAACTTGCAGTAGAATAAAATATTATGGTAATAACAGCAAAACATGGAGAAGTATATTGGCTAAGACTATGGACATTAATTGGGGAGATTCACCAAAATGCAAGAATTGTATGTTTTAAGAGAGAAACTGAAATGTTGTTTACTTTGTTTCTGGTCAGTTCAATTACTTAATACATTGCTGCTACTTATGCAGTTAATGTTTGCAGTAAGTATGCATTGAGTTATGGAATCACTGTTTTGATTTTTATAAAACCAAAATCAGGCTTTAAAAAGTACCAAAAAAAGAAATCCAATTTTATTTAAAAACTATTTTTGATACTATTTAATTGGTGAACTTTTGTGTTGGCTTGAATTTAAAAATATTTATTCATTCCCCTCATGGAAAATTTCAAATTAACGAACTGTGTTTAAAAACTTTTCTGAATTGTCTTGATTACACAGCTGAACAGAAGTTAATTTTCCTTTATTTTTCATATTTTTCCATAGATTTATTATAAAATAGAAATATTAACATTGAAATATATTTTAAAACATCATCGAAATATGATTTATTTCAAAATTCAGATAATTATACAATTTTAATACCTGCAACGAGATCTTCTAATCTTTGATCACTTCGTTTGAATTCTTTTTGAAGTTTTGCTTTCTCTTGATCTCTCTCAGTATTATTTTGACTATTATAAATAAAAAATAAATTATATGAATTCTTACTGATTAGTTCATCACAAATATTAAAATTAAATTAAACTTACCTAGCTGTCAGTGTCCGAATTACAGACATCAAAAGACCAGTCTAAACATATTGAAAACAATTATATTATATGATCTGAACTAATACTACACAAATGTTATAATATATAAATTAAACAAAAATATTTATGTACAGGTATACCTCGCCTTATGTCGGTAATTCATTCCAGGAGAGGCAACTTAAGTCGAAAAACGATGTAAGTTGAATTTACTTGTCACTAGGCTAAATCACAAATAACCATTCCCAGTTCTGTACTTTATTTATAAATGCATTTTTAATAACATATTGTTAATAAGAATCTATTTTAAGCTTACAAACAAATAAATTTTAGTTTTTAATATAATACAGAAAAAAGTAATCTAAATTTACAAATTCATGTACTGTACGTACAGTACATACTTGTAAATGTACATGTTTATAATTTGGCAATGTTTACAGTACATCGTGAACTCTTTATTTGTGAATGTGGTTTGCTCTAAGACATTATAAAATAAGATAATTTTGTAAGGTTAAATAACAAATACAGTTATTAAAATTATCTTGCAACAATAGAAAATAAACTAATTTATATTAAATTTACCAATATTGAGTGGCGCTGGCAACCATGCCAAACAGTAGATATTGGAACTACAGTGGAAAAAACCAATATTGAGCACTTAAAGACTACTAAATAAGACGACAACACAGTCACCGATGTTTTCATGTTTCATTCTTTAGGATTTATGATGACTATATTAACATTTACTGTAAATGTACATATTTTAATATGATTTTATGTGCTTTAATGCTTTTCTAGTAATATTACGACTTCAATATTTGTGGCAGATGGATGTAAAGTCAAATAAAATGACTTAAACTTGATTTTTATTTTTCCATATATTTTTTTGACAAACGACATATAATCGAGGGCGACGTAACTCGAGGTATACCTGTATAATATTGTTATATCAATAAAATTAAGATTTAAACACGATGATTGTGTCTTCACTTAATGTTACTATTTTAGAAAGTAAAAAATATTGAGCATTAATAATTTGAAGTACACTGTAAACACAATACAATATAGCTTCATAAAGAAGCAAAAACATTTATAATACAGCAAAAAGTTGGCTTCCAACTCCACATCTTTTAATATTTGATAAAAGTAAATTTCCAGTATCCAAATTGTACTTTATTACCATAAAATATAGAAATTAATTTATTTATTACAATTGTTACAGATAATATCTGACAGGATAAGAAAGAACCTCACCAATTACAAATCCTGTAACATAAACTCACTTTTAACACAAACAAATTTTTTGGACTCCATAGCCCATGTTACATTAGATCTATGGTATGTTTCAAAAATCATTTTATAAATCATCACACTGTATTAGCTATATAAATGTCTACTTTATATAAAACTTTGTCAATTTATCACTTAACTTCTGGTATTAAATGTTATAAACAAACAGTACAATCTAATTATTTAATTAATTCAGTGCATATTACTCAAAAATGTCTGAATTAAGCATCAGATTTTCTTCATTTTACAACTTTATATAGGTAAAACTTATCAAATAAAACATTTATTATAATTTGTTAATTAAAGTAAAATTCCTATATTTAGCAAATTTCATACCTAAACAATGTTTTTATTAAAAGTCCAGATTAATTCATTTATGGAAAACAATTTCAATATTTCTGGTTCTATATGTATTTCTTATTATCATTACTCATTACCAAAATCACACATGAAGTGTAAAATACTTAACACAAACAGAAATTCTGTTAAACCACCAAAAATGCAAAAGGAACCAGTATCTTCAAAAGAACTTCTGTTCATTTTATGATAAAAGTATAGTATAAAAGTTATATTTCCTGATGCAAATAAACACATATTCCAACTAAGTATCACTATATATCAACTGTATTTTTATTTGATGTTTTTCAGTATCTTTTTCTTCTTCATAACATATTAAACAGCATCCAACGATCAACAACAGAATGAGTTCAAAATCTCCATGCAGAAGATTGTGTCCTGCATTTCCCAATTACAGAATATTTCAATATAGTGCATAATGGATTAAATGAACATCTGACATGCAATGGCCTTCTCAAAGTCCATAGTCAACATGTGTCAATATGTTTTGTATATTGTGAAAGAAAAAATTTCTCAACTCGACCTTACAACAGTTAATACCTAAACCCAGCTGCTGGGTATTATTTTAATGATTTACAATTATCAACAAGAAAGATGTTGTTCAGAACACAAAACAAAAAAGTTAAAATTTATATGGAAACCGAAGAAAAACTGGCATGCATAGAAAATTTATGACCATTCCATATTACTTCTAGTCGACTATTTAAAGCTGTTTTGGATTTTTACTTTTTTTTCATTACAATATGTAATAACACAAAAAGCAAAATTTATATATGAAAATGAAGTTTGTTCTATACTTCTCATAGGAAAAAAAAAAAAAACATTTTTATTAGACCCTCGTTTACATTATGAAAAAAATAATTCAATCATGGGAGTTGTTCACTCAATGGTCGATTATTTATGGCGATTGACAATTGGATTTTCCTTCATCGAGAGTCAAACAAATGTGCCAACCATGAAAGGATAAACTCAATAATAGGCACTTTGTAGAAAATATGTACCCAAAACACCAAGTCTCATTATCTTCTAAAGAACCGACACCTCATTACGTGATCGGCTACCTGAAGCCATGTTGCGCAATGAATTTTCCCATCACGGCAAGTGAGGCACCCATTATTCTTACATGACATCAAGAACGAGGTTGTCATATGATACTTTCCGTGAAGACGGGCGATCTAAATCCGCTCCAACAGACTAATTACGCACCAACTTTGGCTCACATGGTCGACAACAAGAGCCCCCGCCCTATTCCACTCTAGATAAACTGCACAAGCTGTATTATTAATTAATATATATTTTAAAGGGGAGAATTTATTATTGCAGATAAGAAATGATACCAGAATGTACATAGTATTAAATTTAATATAAACTTAAAGCATTCTTTTTATTTGTTTCATGTAATTTTAAGCAATTCAACTTAAAGATATACAAAAATCAAATATGTTACTTTTAGATAATTTCTCTATATACGTATACACGTGCGAATTATCTAAAAGTAACTCCTACCATAACGTCAAAAACTTAGTTTACTGACCGATTCTTTAGGTGATTTAACGGCTCTGGGAGGCCTAACGGGTCCCTCCATGTGTCCAGGCATTATGTCGATGCTTTATATTTTTTACAGAGTTTATTAAACGACTTAAAAGACCGATAAACCCTAACACAAACAAACCATGATCAAAAGTGAAGCTAATGTTGACAAATGTCACGCCCTCTTGTTTTCTTACACTCTTAAAAATAATAATGTATTTTTTTTTTTTTATTTTTCTTTATTTAAAATAATTTTAGATTTAATATATCNTCATGGCTTTGTTATTATTATTGTGGTTTTAGGTCCTTTACCGCTCTGAGAGCACAAAAAGGCCTCATGGTTCATGGCTTATCAGTGGCCAAGCGGTTCCGTTCTTTGAACACTGGTAATTCGGTCGTGGGTTCGCGCCTCACTTGGCCACCTGGAGTTTTCTGGGTTTTCTCCACGTCTGTAACGCCTAAATAGGGGCCAGTTTCCCTTAAAAAGACATCCCGGAAGGCATCACCCTAGGCAGATCGCCCGAGTGTTTCGTTACCGTAACTGAAACAAACCAAACACCTAGCTAGAAGCTTCTTAACCTATGCAAAAACACTTTATCTCACTGAGAATTATTTATTAACGTAAAGAAGAACGTTTTCAACCAGTTCTACAGGCCATCTTAAGGTTTTTAAAAATCATGGAATATTCATAACTGTTGTTTTTTGTATAAAACAGTTTTAAGAACACATTTAAAATACAAAATTCTTTGAAATATTGAGCTATTTGAATCCAAAGAATAAATTACAGTAATATATATACAATTTAAAATAATAAAACAGATTAAAAGAACGTTGGTTAAAGGTTGAAAATGTTCGTTACGATTAATAAATAATTCTCAGTGAGATAAAATGTTTTCGCGTAGGTATAACATAAAAGCAATTATTTTCAAAGTTTTACAAGATTTTTTTTATTTAAAGAAAGCCGAAACCAAAGAGGTAGAATTAGTTAATGTTACGGGAAACACAATAGAAACGATTGGAAAATTTGATTTAGCGTTTAGAATTGGGCGATTGCTATAACGCAGAGTCCCAGATAACAGAATGTAATGACGGAATCTTCGGTATAGATATACAATGAAATTGCATTCTAAGGATTAGCGAACCTCAATAATATTGTTAATAACAACACAACGTAAATAAAAACGATAATGAATCAAATATGGAAGGGATACAAATGGATTTAAAGGATAATTAATAATAATGGAAACTAGAAGATGAACCCGGCGTTGTTCCGGCAATAACGACAAACATTAAGAATATTGTACAGTAGAAAAATAAAGAATATTGAAAATGCGTTAGGTAAAAATTTATCATACCAAGTGAACCATCTAAGATAACCTTTGTAATTACATAAATCAAATACTATAGTATAATAAATATTAAAATGAAAACTATACAACGAGTTTGGTTATTTTAGCCTACCACTGTCGTTTCAAATATCACAATTTTTTCTCTACCTCTAAGAATGTTACCTCTAAGGGTGAGACTATAAAGACGCGAGCGATCGAATTTTCCGAGCGAGCGAGAATGTGTGGCGAGAAGAGGCGAGACGCGATAAATATCAAACACTGCCATATATGTATGCAAAAATCAGAAATTTGCTATCGCCAACAATATTTTTCGCCTCTCGCTTGAGATAAGAAATTCATCTTTTAGTCCGACGAAGCTTAGGATGGAGATGGAGTTCTTGAATGATAAAAACATTCCATTGTGTCCAAAAAACTTAATCCTTCAAATTTGCCACATTGCCAGCCAATCGAGGATTTCTTTGGATATTTGGCACAAATAGTATACGAGAAAGGTCGGCCAGAAAAAATACCACACTACTGATTTCTTCACTTTTTTCCCTAATATTGATGGACTTCATTTTGATTCAGACGCATGTAGCACCTTGTGTTGCTATACAAAGCCCTTTATGAACACGTTACGAAACCAAAACTAACTGCAAACTACATCTTAAATCAAAAGATTTATTGTAGAATCTTTATAATTAACCGTTATTACCAAGAATATATTTTATTGATGTTACTTTTCAATAACGCACAACAAGTAATGTACAATAATCGTTCGCAATAAGGATATTCGAGCGGTCGAGAGGGCAGTCTACCGTTCTGGAGGATCCGAAATCGAATCCGGACAGATCGAAAAAGCCCAGGAAATCTTTTAATTTGTATCGGAAACCGTCCCTTATCACCCTGTCGCGCCATTGCGGGCCTGGTCGAATCCATAATAAACTCGCTAAAAGAGGCCTTCTTAATGCCCACAGGGCAGAAAGAGTTATAATAAATAATAATAAGGGTCATTAAAACAGAAATAAATAAATATGCATCGATTTAAAAAAAATCAAGTATTTTTACATCAGCTTCATCGTCACGCAAAAATGCAACAATATAGGCAACAATACATTTTCTATTGTTTTCACTTTCTTTGTTGTAAGAGTAGCCGAAAAAAGCTTTAGTGATTTTTTTTGCTTTATTTCTAGAAGATAACTGCTTCGGATATAAATGTGAGTAATATTTTGACAGACTACGCAATATGCTATACAAATATTATGATAAAAAATAGAATTACCGATCTAGAAATTTATCATTGGGTAATCATAAAGTTCTTAATGGTAGAAAAAGGTTGAATGGTCTCATTTCGGACGAGTATGCTAGAAAACACCAGATTTCACAGGAAACAAAACACAACTCTAAATCTGTCAAACTCAAAAAACAAATTAAATTTTGTTTTCATGTTTGTTTAAGTTATGGCAACGCAACATTTGGGCGATCTGCCTAGAAGAATGCCTTTCGGGAAGTCTTTTTAAGGGAAACTGGCCCCTGTTTAGGAGTTACAGATGTAGAGAAAACCCGGAAAATTCCGCGTGGCTAGCCCGTCCGAGCGAGGCGCGAACCCACGACCGAACTCCCAGTGTTCAGGGAACGAAAACCACTTGGCCACTGGTGAACCAATTTTGTTTTCAAATTTAATTTCGTTCGATGAAGCATTAAAATTTGACAAATACTTGATGGAACTATAATATATGAAAAACAGGAATTTGATTACGATACAAAAATTTACAACTACAGACAATCTACAGGGGCCGGAAGGCAAACAATTAAGTTTACAGCCTATCACTCTATATAGGACTAAGAAATTCTCGGAAGATGGTCCGAGAATTTCTTAGTCCGATGATCCATTTTGGATATGTGGGGTTCTCGTTCTTCACCACCGGGTTATCCCATTGGGGCCTGACCGAATTCAAAATGGGCTTGATAAAAAAAAAAAGGCGTATACACATTTTTAGCTGAGAAACGAGATCGTTCAACTTTCCCTCGTAATACTTTCTCTGAAAGAATTTATTCTACCCTTTACGTTTTCAGTGATATTGTAAAATCAGCTTAACACTGAATTATAATAATAATAAATTTTATTATATTTATTTTGTAAGATATTAATGTTGGTTCAGTTGGTTTACATACTTTAAGGAAGAATTTAAAATAATTTTAGAAATTCATAAATAACTAATACCTGGTGATCTCAAATAATTTAAAATGCTTCCATAACTGCGAAATTACTGCTGAGAAAAGGCTCCAGAACTCTACAAGTTAAAAAAACTACATTGTCATTCTAAGACAATTGGGAATAATACCCATGGGCGGCCCTAGCCAGGTTTTCAGGTGGTGCGAGATCTCATTATGGCACCCCCTGTAGAGACTAAACTGATAACGTACAATTTTTTTCATATTATTAATAACTCAGACCTCCGAAAGATTTTTTTAAATAACTCTTTCCGCCCTGTGGGCACTAAGAGGGCCTCTTTTTGCAAGCCCCATTATGGGTTCGGCCAGGCCCACAATGGGGCTGCCGGGTGGTGAGGGACGGGGCCCTGACATATCCGAACTGACCACCCCCCGAAAAATTCCTGGGAATTTTATGACTCGTTCGGATTCGAGCCCCGGTCCCCCAGAGCGGTAAGCTGCCACCTTGACCGCTCGCCCATCCGGCCGCTAACCTTCAAAAGATTAATATAATAATACTATGGATGAGAAACGATAACGACGGTAAATGGAGAGTTAACTTGACCCTTGTTCATTCAGAGGTATCGCAAGCTGTTGATGTTTTCTTCTCTCCCCATTGTCGATGGAATCTCTTAATTTTAGGTTGTTTTTTTTTTTTTTTTTTACTTTTCCCGCTCTGTGGGCACTAAGAGGGCCTCTTATAGCAGGCCCATTATGGGTTCGGCCAAGCCCACAATGGAGAGACCGGTGGTGAGGGACGGGGCCCGGCTTATCAGAACGGACCACCCCTCGAAAAATTCCTGGGGATTCCTTGAACTGTCCGGATTCGATCCCGGGTCCCCCAGAGTGGTAGGCTGCCACCTTGGCCGCTCGGCCATCCGGCCTCTTAACTTTAGGTTATGGAGATATAGCACACATTTCAGGATCATGTTTTATATTCTCACAACCCAGTTCACTCTTGTGTAAAATCTATAGCGTGGTACTAGTATGGATGAGAAACAATAACAGTGAAAAAAAAAAAACAATATTTCTTTCACAAAGCAGTATTTATTTAATTTCTTTCATAAGACGATATTCATAACAATATTTATTTAAATTGCTATTGGCACAGACAACGCTCACATCAAGCAAAAAACAAATTTACTTCGTAAATGAATTTAAAATTGAAACAAATTAAGAAAAAAAATAAATTCTGGCGTAATAAACACTAGTATTGTCAGTAGCGTAGCGTAGTGGGGGCGGCAGGGGCGGCCCGCCCCGGGCGGCACTTTTAGGGGGCGGCAAAATTTCACAATAAATAATAATAATATCTCGTAAAAATTTGAACCATTTCATTTCATATTTCTATCGCACCTACGATTCGGACATTGAAATGAGCATTGTATGTTATGTGTACAACATCTATACCTGAGCATTGTAATTTCTTTGTGTACAACATGTAATGCACCAAAGCGGAGCCGGTCTGTATATATATATTTTATATGTACAATAAAATAATGAATGAATGAATGAATGAATTGAAATGAGCACGGAATATTTTATTACTTATTCTGTGACGAAACTGAATTTTAGTCTTTTAAGGGAAAGGCGAAATTTTCCACTGCCCCGGGCGGCTGACACCCACGCTACTCCACTGAGTATTGTGT